TGCAGACGCCAATTGAAAAACTTAACAGAAGTAAATTTCTTTTCAAATTCACAGTTTTCGGTAAACAGATGTGAAGAGTTAACTGAAAAAAGTGTTTGTTGCTGTAAAAGATAGTATTTTTCACAGCGCATGAGTGTTAAGCCCGTTGTCGAAAACAAATACCCATTACTAGCAGTGCTGATGATGGCTTCAGTATGAAAATTTTTATATTTTAATTTGTTAATAGGCACGTTACCAGGCAGAGCATGATGGTACTTGTGAAAGGCGTCAGCAAATTTTCAGTCCCAAAACCTCGTGATATGGAGCTGAGAGCGCTAGCAGAGAAATGTTTCAATGAGTCGTTGGCAAGGCGTGGAGCCAGACAGCCCGCAGCATCTTGGACAGGGCAACAGTTTCAAAGACCAACGGTCAGAGTTGCTAATTCTCCGCCAAAAAGCTCTGCGCGCGTCAATTTATTTGAACGTTTCGCCATGATGGATCGAATGAAGAAACCGAAGCAGCTCGAAGTAGGCGCTTCTACCACAGCTATGGCTAGTGTTGAGTTGTAGTTAGCGCTGTTAAGAAATGTTTCTTTTTCTGCAATGAAGAAGAGGGGCAGGACTCGAGAGCTACGAGTAATCAAAATCGACTCTTTTTTCTGCAGATCGAACGTAGATTTTATGCTTTTGTGTGAGGTGGGTGAGGTTGCGAAATGACATTAAACTCCAGTTCGTACTTCCTAGTAATCACTTTAAAGTGGGTTCTGTAGTGAAACTAGCCAAACCTCAAAAACTTTTGATTTAGTCCATGTTTTTCGAAACTCTAGAAATTTACTGACGAATCTGGTTCAAAATTCACTTTTAGGGTCAAAAATCGATTGCAGATATAGTTTTGAATAAAAATATCATTGAGCATTATCGTAAACATATGGAGGCGATTCGTAATTTGGACCGGGTATGATATCCTCGCATTGCTTTCTGTGTAATAACTGGATGGAAAAGTGCATATAGTTTTCGAATAGGGACTTTTAAGTAATCAAAGATTCGTTTACTGTTCATTTTCGTTCTTAAAACAAAAGTTACTGCTAAGAAGTGGCATTGTTCTTTCATTTAAGGCCTACGATCGTGGTACTTCTCGTCGCAGTCTGTTTGACGACGGCAGTTCCAAGGAATGTCGTGCAGAAGGGACAACCCGCTCGTTTCGGTATATTCAAAGGAATCGATGTAGACGTCCAGTGAGGGCCGGTAGCGGTCATACATCTCATATGTTGCTGAACATCTACAATTCACATCTTCTAAATCCACCAGTACTGCCAAAGCAATGTGCAGTCAAACGCCGGGCGTCGGGGCCGGATGGTGAACACCAAGTAACTAAGATGAAGTAATTTTTTGGTCTTTGCACATTTTTATAAAAGCCATTTTAGGGCCGGTCGTATTTGCCTGCCGTAATCTTGAACGATTTTCTTTACAGATCGTTTAAAATATCACAGCTTTTACAGCCTTTAACAAATTCGTTTCGGCTGTGATTTCTTGGTAGCTTCTGAACTGTCCATTTCACAGAATTGTTGTGCATTTACTGAAAAGCATCATAGTTACTTGAATACTTGAACAACTGCGTATGTCATCGACGTCTGTTGTGATGCCATCGATGCAGTGCTGGCAACTTTTCTATTCGATTCGTTGTTGCGCTGTCCGAGTCCATGTGATATCGTATAGGCCTATTGATCTCTCCACCTCACTGATGGCCTCTTCAGTATTCGCTTGACTGTGAGCGGATACCATTCCACTATCCGCTTCGTCCATCTATTATCTGATATCCGTGCCACAGGACCAGCCCATCTCCTCTTTCTGGCATACATTACTAAGCATTACATACCAGTAAAGAGGTTATGCCGGTGAAGTAATGTACACAAAACTGTTGTGCATTTTTGCCGAACCATTCGTTCTGCCACACGAGCGTACAAGGAGTAAATCACAGTGATCACGCAATGAAACAAATGCAGGTGGTGGGCAGGAGATGTTTCATGCTTTGCTGACAGCTTTGGATGACGTGTATTGGCAAATGGTATTCAAGGGAAAATAGTGAATTGCTTGGGCGTTCTCTGACGAGATGGTGCACATACATTTAAGAGTGGTGGACATTAGATGCAGTTATTCAACTCAGAATCAAACAGTTTGGCAAAGCTGCACTCTGTACGTGGGAGCACAGCCGTAAAACCACGAAAATCCCATTTCCGCACTCGTTCTCTCGACAGGCTTGATAGTTCTGTAACTAGATGTGACGTTAACGCGGCGCGGTTTATGCATGTCAGTACTTTCCATTTCGGTGTTTCAGCCTGAAATTTTTTACTTTTTTTTCAGCGTTTACGAAACATTCAAATTGAAACCTTTTAGGCCTCGAACTACTAGTGAAAATGCAGGGTTATCGTCTGTAACTATTGTGCCGGAAAGTCGCGAAGTAAGCAGTTTCTCTCAAGATGTAAGAACGACCGAATGCGCAGTATTATCGGAATCGAGCGAAAGTATGAGCACGAAGAGATCGGATGAGAAACCGACAGAGAAGAAAAGCAAATTATCACTGCGATCAGGGAATTCATCATCGTCCGATCTTTTTAGTGCGACAGGTTCGCAAGGGTCATTCAGCAAATCAAGTGAATCAGTAGAAAGTTCGGACACTGAATCCGGTGCTTCAGACGAGTTGCCGGGGAAAAATTCAGGTAAAGCTGGAGGAGTAAAAAAGAAAAGTGGGAAAAAGTCTGTTTTACCAGGAGGGAAGTCACGTCTTCCGACAACTGTGGGAACTCAGGCTGATGTTTTGGAACAGAGCCCAAATGAATATGAAACCTGACATCTGAGCTGTTCGGATTCCGTTTCTAAAAAATCCTGCGGAACAAGCAGTCGGAGAAGCAAGAGATATGCAGCTTCTGGTAGAGTGGGAAAATTATCCGAAGGCCCGGAGCTAAAATAACTGA